TTTACAAACACTCTGTATATTTTCTCATCCATTACACAGCCGCACAAAAAAAAATGTTCGGACTTGTGGGTCGGACATATGTATTCCCATGTATTTTTCGACGCTGAATCCGATCCCGAGCTCAGAAATGGCCCTCCACGTCTGGAATTGGCTCCAGGGGCCAAAAATGGCCTCTATAGGGCCTAAAAGATGGATTCCGGGATGAGGCGAGGTCGAAGGTGCATTCTAAAGCGAAAGCCGGATTTGTGGTCGAAAAGTTTATGGCCAACTGAAATTCCCCATTTGAGACCGGGAAAATGACCCCTTTGGGGCCGGAAAATGACCCCTTAGGGGCCGGAAAATCGTGTTTCGGACGTCGCAATCGCAACAGTGGTATTTTTATGTACTTTTAAATTCTGGAACTCAGACTGTGCTCGGAAAGTTTATGGCCAACTGGAATTCCCCGTTTGGGACCGGGAAAATGACCCCTTAGGGGCCGGAAAATCGTGTTTCGGACGTCGTAATCGCAACAGTGGTATTTTTATGTACTTTTAAATTCTGGAACTCAGACTGTGCTCGAAAAGTTTATGGCCAACTGGAATCTCCCGTTTGGGACCGGGAAAATGACCCCTTAGGGGCCGGAAAATCGTGTTTCGGACGTCGCAATCGCAACAGTGGTATTTTGTATATACTTCCTTCCTATGAGGAGATGTCCCTGTTGGGGACTCTATACTGTATCGTTTATACTTTATATTTTATAGCGTTCTGAAGTTCCGTACTGACAATTGAGTGTAGAGAAATACATCTTTTAGATACCTGGGAAAACTATCACTCAGGAGTAATTCTTGAATTAAGGCGAATTAACCTTCTCCACCTCAAATCTACTTGCAGAGTAGAAGAACATATTGAAATCACTCAATTTTTCAACTCCGTCAGGGGTATTTTTCATGGGAATACCACTGTTGCAATTGCGACGTCCGAAACACGATTTTCTGGCCCCTAAGGGGTCATTTTCCCGGTCCCAAACGGGGAATTTCAGTTGGCCAATAAACTTTTCGAGCACAAATCCGGCTTTGGTTTTAGAATGCACCTTCGACCTCGCCTCATCCCGGAATCCATCTTTCAGGCCCTATAGAGACCATTTTTGGCCCCTGGGGCCAATTCCAGACGTGGAGGGCCATTTCTGAGCTCGGGATCGGATTCAGCGTCGAAAAATACATGAGAATACATGTCCGACCCACAAGTCCGAACACTTTTTTTTTGTGGGGCTGTGTTATCAGAGCCTTCATAAATGTCTACAATCCACGTTACCGCTATTGGTACTGGTAACGAAAATTCCCTAAATCTTGGCGCCACCAATATCAATGATTCGTTTACAATGAACAGTAACAAACCGTTACGCCTACTTTCGAGATAATGCGATCGCTGATTGGTTACACCTATCACAGCCGGTGAAACAGAACGTACCTAATCTTGATCTTACTATTTTAATTTTACTGAAAGATGGCCCACATAAAGGAAATAAAAATACTGTTCCAAACAAAATTACTGTTCACGTGGCTTATAATCATTTATGAATGCCTCACTACTTCTACTTTTGTTAACATATAGAGAAAATTCACGGTTTGTCCGATACAAAAATGTGATAAATCAGACGTAACCTAATTTTGGACTGTCTATAATATGGAACTTCTGGAAAATCCTGGAAATATTAGATGATAATATCTACTTCGGTGTTAGACATCAAATGTCCACCTGACAACATGGATTCATGAAAGGCCAATTAACGAACATCAATTTACCACTCATGACACAGTTTCTTCCAGAATCCTTAGAAATGCAGGCAGAAACTGATACACGAATTTTTTTTAAAGCATTCGATAGGCCCAATCAAAGATTTTGGTAAACCAGTTATTTGAAATAGCCTTTTCTGACTAACTTTTGCAGTTATTTAAATTATATTTAACTTGTAGGCGCCACTACGTTGGTTACAATGTCTCTAAATCTACTGAATTTCTAGCTCCTTCCGGCGCACCTCAAGGTTCCGCTCTGCGACCATTATTTTTTAATATATTTATAAATAGTTTAACTGATATATTGGATGTAAAGTGTTAGCTTTATTCAGACTATTTATCGAGATGGTGCGTAGAAAATAGTTTAACTTAATACTGCAAAGTGCAACGTTATGTCATTTATGCCCAAATTACCTTCCCTAATTTTTAATTATAATTTAAATAACATAAAATAAAGACTAATTTTTATCTCGTATGTCGCCACTACTGTCAGTGAGGCACTTAGAACACTGGGTTTCATTCTACGAAATAGCCGCGATTTTATTAATATAATCTCATTACTATGAAAAGTCCCGTTATTATGATGAATTATGACATTTACATAAAATCCTAGAAAATATTCAAGGAAGATATTTGAAACTACTGTATTTTAAAAGTCATGGTGTTTATTCACCCATGGCGTGTAGTCTTCTTGACATTCTATTTCGTCACTCATTGAAAAACGTGAAAATATTTACCAGATGTTCTTCATAAAATTGTGCACAATAATTTTTATTGTCCTTCTGCAATGGCCAAACCACAGAGCACCTAGAGTGTACGTTTCCTATCCCAAGGCATGGGTACCGGTGAAGCCAAATTGCGGGGAAGTGGAGTGTGCGAGGTAATCTGACCGCGCATACTTTGAACAGGTCCGGATTAAGCAATATTTTTACACTTATGACAAATATTCATTTTTCAAGTTTGGAATTCAGAAGATAATATATTTTAATGTCTTGCTTAAATAAACCTATAAAATAATTTAAATATATTTATTGTCCTCTTAAGTAATGTTAGTTTATTTAATAATTGTCTTTTAGTACATTTCACAGAATTAAATATTTTAACTTCACGATTTATTATCACATCGATATACTTTTCACATACAGTCCTCACATGTTCTTATCCATATTTTTTAAATAAGTTCACATTCAAAAAGTTTTTTAATACATGATACACAATTTTATTTTTCTGTAGCTTGGGTGTACTGTTTTTATAGGAGTTATTAAAAAAAATATATTATTTCTATTTCTTAAATTGTCATTTTTCTTTTTTAAACGACAGTTTGCTTATCACTCTTGGCAAGTTTAAAGTTGACACTGTATTTTTGGATAAATTTCTAGCGTCGTTTTTATCAATAATAATAAACTTCTCTTGAAAATGTAAATAACAAATTACAGACGATTTTGAGGACGGTCAATCTTTTTTCATAATGGCCTTGATCGTTTCCAATTTCATTTCCACCCTCTTTAGGAAACCTGAGAATAAAAACAAGAAAATGGGTAATACAATTTTATTCAGTAATTAATCACCTGTAATTTAACATTAATGTATGTTTATTATTGAAATTATATGTTGAAGGTTCAATATTTCAATTATTTTTAATAGCCATCATGAAAATGAACACCAATTGTGACAAAAAACTAATTGTAAATAGCCGGTTGTTAATATGAGCCTGTATATTTACATCAGTTGATAACGTGGCACTAAAAAACATGAAGCCAACATTGGAAATAAGTGCATATGAGATGGAGAATGCTGCGCGAAGGCGTCGAAATGGCATAAAATATTTTTATGTTATTACATACTTATCTAAAGATTGAAATTTCAGCACTATTGTGATCAGATCTAATATTACAATAGTCAACGATACACTGGCCCATGATTGCACAAATACCTAAAAACAATATATTTAATAAAATATTAACAGTGTTAACACAGCGAATGTCTAACAGCGGCTGAGAGCGCAAGGCTGGCTGGGCTGAGGTTGGGCCAAACAATGTATTTGTACAGGAAAATTCATGCCAACCACGAACAATTAATCTAGAGAATTCTCCTTTACATTTTATGTGTAGAATTCATAATAAGTATTGCACTGATCATAAATCATATTTTAAATATTAAATTTATTATTAGTTTCTGTTAGACTGGCTGTTTGTGTCTCATTATTGTTTTTTTTCAACATAGCATGCTATTCTATTTCTATTCTGCACACTTCTGTTCTGTATTTGGGTAAACCTGTAGAACAGTGTATAAATAAAATAAAATATAAGCAACTCATTCCTTTTCAACTGGTCTCTAATATTTTTTTGGACATACCACCAACGCAGCTGACACTTCTAGCGGAAAATGGTCTAATTGACAGTTAAGGACGCAAATTATGTGTGAAGCGAAAAGCAGGTGCATGTCTAAGCTATTAAGAAAATTATTACCGTCGAGCCATCGTATTAAGTGTCCCTGAACGTCTCCTTAGTTTTAATAAACTTTTATATAAAAGACCCGATATATTTTGAATAAAAATTGTTGCTGAACGTAGTGAGAAGTGACTTTTACATTTACTCATAATACTGTTACCAAAATTAATTGTCTCTCTTCCAAAGAAATAAAACGACAAAATTATGAATTTACTGTTTTTCCCTGAAGGCAAACAGGACGGAAGTGTGTTCTTTTTTTTAGATTAGACACAAATGATACCGCCCTCATTAGTTCGTATGTCACTTAATTACCAGCATTATGTCAACTTTTGAATGACTTCATTATTTATGTTCTGACGCCCCTGCGATGGATTACAAAGTTGCCTTAAGCTGAACAAAATAATTTCCGAAATTATATCAAAAGCCCATTGTTTTAAATTGGGCATGACTTTCGTTCCCCGGTGATATTACAAATTAGGTAATTGTGCGTGTTTGGTGGGAATATATGAACTGAAGTTTAATTAATTTATTTGGACAAACAGAACTTCTGTCACAGGAAACTATCTAAGCTATGTTGTCTAAAATGCATGCTACTTCTCAGTATATTTGGAAAGGGTGACAAAAGTAATGTCATTAAGTAAAATAAAAAACTTGCTTGGTTCGAGGATTTATATATTTTTTAAATTAAAATATTATTATATATAATTATTTGATGTGAAGCTATCGGGCTTTTGCATGGAAATAAAATACTACTAGAGAAAGATATATTGCACCATGTTATTTTTTAATTAGAATCTGTAAAAACTGTATGTGTTCTCGTGATTGTATATGACTTTTCATAGGCTAAGTCGAATTTGTCAGTCTTCTTACAATTCTTATATTATTTTCATGCAGTTGTTACAACAGATTGTGATAATATACTCTGTATCCAGGTGTAGTAGTAAGGAACGTTAACATAGACACCATACACTCCAGTCTGCCCACAATTTTTTCCCCAAATCACTAAGCCCGCTACACTGTATTGTCCAGTGGAACTGGGACACGACAAGGGTGAACCTCCATCTTGCTGTAACATGAATTAAATATAAATAATACTAATATTTATTAGACATTGATTTTTTTGAAAAATTTAAAGTTCAAGTGCTTGAAAGGCTTCTCTGAAGATGGTTTTCTTTTAATATCTTCGAAACGTTTAAAGACACATAAATGATTTGCACATCTACTAAACTCTTTGTGTCTTACCTTTTAAACCTGATTGGAAAAATTTGAAATGTCAAAGTTTTTTTACACAAAAATAGATTTTAGTTTTATGACCCCGAAATAAATAGTTTTTAAGTAAAAAAAACTAGTAAACTAGTAGGATATGTGCTAACGTTATGATTGTGTATTTTTTTTTGTCTTACTTGAAATATAATTTGATATCAATATTGATTTAGTATTGCAGTTTTATGTTTATTTATCACAATACTTTAAGTTGAGTGACTGAGATTAATTTAAAAAGTATAATGGTTACAAATGTTGAAGTAGCTGATATGCAATTTGTTTATTGCCTTGCCAATGCGATGCAGACGTATTTATGAAGAAAATTCTCATTAGAAACACCAGTATTTCAATCAAATAAATAAATCAATCAAAAACTTGCTGAAAATGCAAATTTTGATAAACAAATTTTGTTTATTGAAGGAGTAAGTTTTTTAGAAATTCAGTTTAAAGTACCCACAATAATCATTTATGGATTGAGCAGAATCCTAATGTTATTACTGAAAAACAGTACCAGTTTTCACTAAATGTATGTATGGATCTCGCAGGCGATCATCTCATAGGATCATTCCTTCTTCCTGGTACACTAGATTGACGTTTCCATCGTATTTTATTTTAGAAATTGAGCTGCCTATTTCGCTCGTGGGTTTTCTTCCGTTAATAAGAGGTCAGCTGGGGAATATTTAAATCAGGTTTATTTTGATAAATAAGTGGAGGTGGACCACGGTAATGCCCTCCTAGATCTCCCGATTTAAATGGTTTAAATTTTTTCTTATGGGGACACATCAATTTATTGATATATGTACTTACACACCAGCGATCGATCAGAAATTAGAATGATCTTATAAATATCATAATTGCCCTTTATAGTACGATGCGCAATGCGTAATGGTTGGTGAAGGTCAATTCCAACAATTTTGATAATTTTGTGTCAATGTTTTGATCCATAACACTTATTTCGCTGTTAAAATATAAAATTTGTTTTTAATTTAATTATTTTCGTTCTGTACAAACTTTAACTAAGTATTTATTATTATTATTATTACATCATTATATTATTATCTGAAAGTAATTTCAACGAATATATCATGAACAGTGAACAAAATGATATTACTCAAAAAAAAAAACAAGGCATTTCAATGAGATGACCGACCTTACGACCAATTTTTGTATAAAAAATTTTGAAATTTTAAATTTTGTTATTAAATTTTGAAGAAAACTCTCACAGTCCCTCCTTTTTAACCCACCTTTGATGATATTTGGTTATTAACTCTAATTGTAAATTGTAAAGCAGGTAATTTAGTACATGTGTAAAATTTTATTTATGTATCTTTAAACATTCAAACATATTAGAAGAAATTCATCTTCAGCGCAACTTTGAACATCAAACGTTCAAAACTAAGCATTTTAGGCCAAATGTTTATGTGAAGTTTCCTTCATAAAACCCATTTAAAATAACTACCAAGTTTTTTTATAGCTCCTAGTGTAACAATGACGTTGCAAGTTTTCTCGTCAGAAAAAAAACAAAAAATCATAGTAAACATTGCACTGCGATGTCAAATAACTTTTTTGACAGTTGTAACCGTTCAGACTTTAGTCCAATTAATAGGTAGAAGAGCTTACAAAAAATACCACCTGAAAACAAAAAATATGGCGATATAGGAAAAAAATTCTAAGAAAGACTGTGTATTTTTCCTGTGACGCATAAACGGCGAAGTTAATTTAAAAAATTCATAAAAGTCAAAAAAACGGTTTTTTGTTTTTGCTGTATTTCTTGCAAGATAACGTTTTGAAACTTGTTACTTGCTGTAAATATAGCCCTCGGCAACAAAAAAGTACGTTTTTGTAAAATTAAAAAATATTAAAAGTTTTTCGAGGTAAAACGATTTTTCGAGAAAAAGGTACAACCACAGATTTTGCACCGCTCGATTCCAGAAGGTCATAGAGCAACGTTTTATTTTTAAGTTCGTGTAAAAATGCCAGCAATCGATTCGTGTAATAGACATTATCGAGAAATGAAAATCGAAAAAGATATTCAAGAAAAACGCGAGCAAAAAATTTTTACTTTTTTCACTCATCTTTGGACACTTGAAATGAATAAAATCGTTATCATTCTTTTTACCATGAAAGTACAACTCTTTAGGAAAAAAATGATTTTTTTTTTAGAAAAATCGATATAACTCGAAAATTTTTTAATATTTTTTAATTTTAAAAAAGATACTTTGCTTGCCGAGGGCTACATTTAAAGCAAGTAACAAGTTTCAAAACCTTAACTTGCGAGAGATATAGCAAAAACAAAAAAGTCGATTTTTGACGGTTTTTTCGATATATCTCGAAAAGTAATATAGCAATCGATATATTTAAAAATACGAATAGATAGGTTTTTTAAATAGCTACTAGTTTCTCATTTAACTTTTCTCGATTGGAGTTCAAGTTTTTTTTTATTAGCGAAAAACCGTTTTTTGACTTTTATGAATTTTTTAGGTTAACTTCGCCGTTTATCCGCCACAGGAAAAATGCACTATCTTTCTTAGATTTTTTTTCCTATATCACCAAATTTTTTGTTTCCAGGTGGTATTTTTTGTAAATTTAACACAAGGCCATGACAGATTGATTGGACTACTTCTTCTAATTCCGACGCCAGTGGTTAGTTTTGATCAAATTGTACATGTAAGTAACTACTAGGGAGAAATTGGGTTAAGACAAGTTTGGAGTCTATATATCTTCAATGGTTCTTTAGGCATTGATGTCATACTGTGTTTAGCGTCCAATCTTTGACGGATCATACAGTTCTTAAGAATCGTTTTAAGGAAAAATCCTTTTTTGTTTGTTTTGACGTCGCAGTATCACTCTACGTCTTGCTAGTGTTGATTTTGGATGTATGTTATCACTTACCGAGCAAGCGTCCCTCATGGATTGTCCTCCAGCGCAGATTTCACCATTTGGATCTAAATAAGTGTCCACATTGCTTCCTAGCAGATTTGTATTCGCAAAAGATGCTCTACACGTCGCATAATTTACAACAGTAACATACACTTGTTTTTGTGGGCTTGTTGGAGCGTCATTGGTGGTAAAAGAAGTCTGACCCCAGCCGGAAACCACACATCTACAATAATAATTTCAAAGTCAAAGTTAAGTCAATCATTAAATGGAATTGTAATTAGAATATTTAGGAAGTTAGAGGATACTATTCTCTTACGTTTGTCCCACGTATGATGTTGAGGCACCTGTGCTTGCTAAGCATATCGTGTTGATATTTCTGTAGATCCCCAAGACTATAGGTTGTGATAATGTAAGAATGGCTATATCGTTCACAAGGGTGCTTGCTACAAATGAAGGATGAACTGTAATTGATGATACTGTACTACTCTGTGTGTTATCCAAACTTGCAGGATTCCATACACCCATTATTACCGTTATTACAGAGGGATTTGCCCTGAAAATTATTATTTAATGAATGAGGAGATTTTTCCTTTTATTCTGTTATTATGGATGCTTACACATTTCTGTAGACCTTATGAGCCGCAGTTAGTACGTGGAACTCATCCAGTAGTACTCCACTTCCGGAAAACGTGCTCGTATTATTTCTAAGATAAGCTTGCCATGGATATGCTCCAAAATCTGCCAAGCCATCGGTTGTGGTAGTTGGTGTTATATACTGTGTTCCACACGTTGTTGTTTGACCGTAGCAAGCGAAATATCCATCAGCACATAATGCACCCTTTCAGAAGTAAGTAACAAGTTTGCAAAGATTTACAAATTTATTCAAAGTTGGATAGAGTGTTGTTACTTACCGCTTGCGTTGGTGTTACAATTCTAGGATCGATGGTGTTGCTGCTGCTACTGCTAGGGCAAGTAGTACCCGTTGGTAGGCATAGGTAAGTTTGACCTGAAGATGTAACTCCAGATACCAATTGACTGTGTACCTTATCTATAGAAAAAAATCTTTTATAAGCAAGACAAAGGTAATTTTTTAATGGTAGACAGTTCAAAAACTTTTGTGGATAAAACAATTTTCCAACTCTAGTTTTTGAGAATCCGAAAAGTTATTTTGTACGGAGATCACATGGAATTTCCTATACTCACTTATATATACGTTAAAAAATATGCACAGAACCGACACTAGGTACATCATGTTAATTTTTTTTTCTAGGAACTCTCGATGGCAACTAAAATCAACTGTGCTCTATCAGTTTTTCACATTGGCGTTTAAATAACATCTATTACGGATTTCCCACTTATACGTTATCATTATCACAGCAAAATACAAAGAATCCCGTCGACATTGACCCGTGTGATTTCAGATCTATTTTCCGAGGCATACCGTAAACGGGAAGTTTAAAATCATCCGAACCACTTATTCATAGTCTATTCTTTTTAGAGGTCGTGTGTGAAAAACATTTATTTTATTTTAATATTGTTGCGATTCTATTTATTTTTAATCATTGGGTTATGAAGGGCGCAGCCTCAAGGGAATGTCAAAATGTTTTGCAATTTTCAGAAATGGGACAGTTGGGATACGGGTAAGTGGTCATTGAAAGAAATGATTTCATGCGTTTGAATTTGATTGAATAAATTAACATGCGTTTATGTTGGATATAAATTAAAGTAGGTACTTTTTTTGCGTTTTTTTTTAAATCATGTTACTAGATATTTTTTTCTGTTATTATTGATCGTGTATAAGTCGTGTATTGGATATTTTTTATTTTTGTCTTAAATTGTAATTTGATTAATTCTAAGAGATATTTGGAGTACAGTTTGGCATAGTAATGTATGATATTGCCATATTAGTCGGGACGAATTAGGTTTTTTTTTTCAAAAATCGGGCCTACCTCTAATATTATGGGCTTAAAATTGAGTAAAAAATATACATAATAAAAGCCTACATTTGTGTATTTGTAGAGGTCGAGCGTTATATTATTTATAACAAAAGAACAAAAATTATTGCTCTTTTTTTCAGTGTTTCGCTTATATCTCCGAAAATAAGTCTCTAATCGACATGAGGTGTATACTGATCGATTTTGTTTCTGAGAAATTTGCTACAAGGATAGATTTGCGAGAGCTCGCAATTTTTTTTACATTGCAAAATTAGCGGTGAAAAAAAAAATGTGTAAAATTTTCAGCATTAAAAAAAAGAACGAATTTGGCTGAAATTGGATGAAACTACAGAAAGAGATAACTGTTGGGGTGCTCAACAAATAGCCGCAATCCGGACCCCCAATTTCAAAATGGCGCTCTGTAGCAAAATTATAAAGTAGAAAACGCGAGCGCGTATATCTTCTGCCCAGGTCAAGATATCGAAATTAAAAAAAGGATGGAAAGGTAATTACATTATCTCGCGTGTGTGAATTTCAGATTCTTAAGTTGAAAAATAAAAAAGTAATGAACAAAAAACCAAAAAAAAACGGTAACTAGGGTCCTTATCTCGGCGATTTTTTAATATACAGGTTTCAAACCAACTGCGTCAAATAGTGCTTTAAAAAACATGAGCTTAAAAAAAGCGTCTCGATCTGACCAATAGGAGCCGAGATAATTTTTTTACGCGGGTGTGCGGTAGCCAGGAGAGGGGAGCGCTGTGACGTCATAGTGCATATGCTTCTCAAAATTCTTACTTAACAATTGGAATGTGGCACTTAGAAATAAGCTACCGGTATGCTTTTTTTTGTTCTCTTTCGAATGGTGTGAGCAAAAGTCTGTGAAAGTCATCGCCAGACCCCAAAAAATACATTTTTATTGACTTTCCACGTTTTCTTTTATAATTTCATTATGCTTTCGATATTTTGAAAGTAAAAAGGTCTATTTACGTATTTAAAAACAAAAGTCAATTATTCTTTTGAAAAAAATTATCAGAAAAATTATTAGAATACCTTTTTCCAAAGTAATAATTGACTTTTGTTTTGTCATGTCGATGAGAGACTTATTTTCGGAGATATATAAGCGAAAAACTGAAAAAGGAGCAATTATTATTTTTTCTTTTGTTACAAACATATGACGCTCAACCTCTACAAATACACAAATATAGGCTTTTATTCTGTGTATTTTTTACTTAATTTTAAGCCCTTAAAATTCGAGGTAGGCCCTATTTTTGAAACGGGCCTTTTCTGAAATAAGAGTGGTTTCAGAACACAATATTTGGGTTGTTCCTTATTGTTATGTTGTTCACGCCATTGGATATTTGTAGCATATTCGAGAATAGGTGATCCTTTTTGACATTTTATTTATTATACTTAACAATTTCTTAAAAATTTTAATGTACGAGTATTTCCTTCACTGAGTTTGACATATAAATTTAATTGACCTAATCCAATTATTATTTTGAGGTTAATGGGAAAACCACAGTTATTTTAATTGAATTCTTGCGGTCGTATAGTACTAGTTATCTGTCCAATGACAGTTCGTGAGTTGTCTTTAATAGAGAATTTCATTTAAAATTATAAACATATTTCGTCCTTCGATAACCGCAATAGTTTGTTCACTTCAATGTTTATTATTTTTACTTTTACTCTTACTTTTTTTATATCAGGGTTTATGCAAATTTGCTTGAAAGTTTCAAACAAAACGACACTACAACATATAATACTACAGTAGCCAGTAGCGCGTTACATTGCGATGAGACCATGGAAAATTTTAAATTTGGCTTGTCATACGTATGGGATTCAAATTGTTTTGTTATACGGGGTGGTCCCTAATATATATTTCCATAACAAAAATAGTGATTTATAAGATTATTTTAAGAAAAAGAGTTTCTAAGTTTCTACGGACATAGTGCGAGACGCTAAACTAGAAACCCCAGAATTTTGAAGTATTTGCTGAGTATTTTGAAAATCCGATCAATGTAAATTATTCAGATGTGTTTTTCATGTTTGTTCTACTCACGAAGGGAATTTTTTTTAGCCTAAAGTAAACGTATTAAGTAAAAAGTTGAAAAAAGTGAAAATAATCTTAGAACAAAAAAATTAGATTTTTTTTATTGCAAATCCTGAAATAAAAACAGTGTAATCATTAAAAGTTCGGAAAATTCAATGGTGTAGTAATTTGGCCCTTTCTACCTCAAACAAAATTCAATATTTCAGAGCAATATTACTGACCCAATTTCTAAAACAGTCAGTGGCGTTGATATTCTTGGATTCTAGTATATTTCAGTATCTTGGCCATTGGTTGATGTAAGTAAATTTTTAACTTTTATTTAGTTACTACCCCAACTTACGTCAAACAGCATTTGTGATATTTATGTAGATGTAATATTTTTCAAAAATTTTAACAACTTGTAACATGAAAACTAGTTCGTTTAAAACATGTATTCATGGGCATTTTTTCCTCTTATTATTGGAAAATACCTTCTTAAGGACCACACTTTGTAAATGTGTCTTTATTTAGTTTAGAATGAGAATAAGTAACACTAATGAAAACTAATAAATTCAGGATCGGTTTGTGTTCGGTGATTCTACTAATCACTGATTTTAGCTGTTTACTAGATATTGCGGGTGTAATTAAATGCTGGTCAGGGCTTTAATCCGCAGAGTAGCTGTTTCCAATCAATATTATTAGTTAAAAGCTTTATTTGGCTTACTAACACTACTCTTACTTTCATAGTACGTAGTAGGTTAACACTTAGTTACAGTCACTCAAAAATGTTATGTTTTTGCAAAAACTTAAACATCCTGCATCTTGAAAACTAAGTCATCTAAGACATAAGTTTAGAGTCGCTTTTTTCCCTAAAACAATTTCAATAATCACCCTATTTCAAAAATATTAAATTCACAAACCTGCTTTTTGCTAAGCTTTGAAGAAAGAAACGTAGTATTTAGTAGTAGTAGTATTTTCAAAATTTTATATTGCCTGGCAAATTCGGAAAATTAAGCTGTCTGTATTTTTCATGCAACATATGTTGTCCGTAGTATTTTTGCCTCCTGATCACGAATCCGGTGTCAGAATTGAGTTATCACATCACAGGAATTTCCTAACCTGAAAAAACAGGTCAAAAATAGCAAAAATTTACGAAAAAGTACTAGGAGAAATAAAATTTTTTTTCTATATTCAAATGTTCATTTATATGACCCCGATGAACGTGAGTGAATCCGCGGTCAGGATTGATGGTTCTTTTTCTAACCTCAAAAAAACGGGTCAATTAATGTCAGATATCACGAATTTAAAAAAAATACAGATTCGCGCCAAATTTGGTAAATGGGGTTTTTTGGGGTCACTGATCACGGATCCGAGGTTAATTTTGAAAAATTCAGGATGGCGGATCCCAGATGGCCGACAAATTTTCAAAAAATAACCATTAGCGCTAAATTTAGTATACGGGGTCGCTGATCACGGATTCGAGGTCAGTTTTGCAAAATTCAAGATGGCGGATAAAATTTTCAGAAAATAACACATTCGCGTTAAATTTGGTATACGGGGGTTTTCGGGGTCGCAGATTACGAATTGCGAAATTCATTTTGTAATATTTTTGTTTACTTTATAACCTGAGTAGGTACCTAATCATGTTTTAACCTTCTTAAAGTAGGTACATAGGTTGGTAATTGAGTAAATTTTTAAAAAGGAATTTTGTAAATCTGATCAATGACCCTGAAAGCCCCCGTATACCAAATTAAGTGAGGTTGGGTTATTTTTTGAAAATTTGGTCTGTCATCTTGGATCGGCCATCTTGAATTTTTCAAAAATGACCTCGGATCCGTGATCAGCGCCCCGAAAACCCCCGTACACCAAATTTGGCGCGAATCTGTTTGTTTGAAAATTCGTGATATCTGACATTAATTAATTGACCGGTTTAATTCCGTCCGCGGATTCACGTTCGGCGGGATCTTCCTGAATTTTTGCTATTTTTGAACGGTTTTTTGAGGTTAGGAAATTCCTGTGATGTGATAGCTCAATTCTGGATTCGTGATCAGGAGGCAAAAATACTACGGATAACATATGTCGCATAAAATGTACAGACAACTTTTTTTTTGCGTATGTCTGTCAGAATTAATCCTATTCTTCTACATCTCTTGCCCAAAGCAAACACCCTTTTTGTACAATCGCTAACACGCCTCTGTTTGTAGCCAAGGAATCATTCCTTGCGCAAGAATCTTACCCTTCTTTTTCCGAGAAACTTGTCATACAACTGGATAATTGCTCTAATAGATTATTGCAGAACTCGTTATGGATTTACTTTTAATTAG